CCCACCCGCCGCGCGGCGGGGAGGCGAGGGACGCCCTGGCGGCGACGGCCGACCCCGGCGGCCGGCCCTTCCCGCGACGCCGCGGGCAAGGAGCCGGGACCGCTGCGCAGCTTCGGAATTCGGACGGCGCGAGCCTTTCTCTCCTTTCGGGTTTCCGCTCGGGGTCGGGGCACACCGACGCGCTTTTTTCTCGGCCCTTTTCTCGCCACTCTCTCTCGCTTCTCTGGGCCTTTTCTCTCTCTCTCGCCCTTTTTTTGTTTCTCGGGGCCCGCGACCCGTTTTCGAGACTCGGCCTCGCGCTCGGAAAAAGTCGCACGCGCGTGGCTCGCGGGGACGGAGGCTCGGCTGGGGCTGACCCGCCCCCGAGGCCGACGCACCCCCGCCCGCCGACCGGTCGCGGGCGAGCGACCGGTCGCCGGCGAGGTTGGGGCCGAGCGGGGCCGCTCGGGAAGAGCAAAACCCGCCGCGGCGCGTCCCCCCACCGGGCCACGCGGAAAGCACCGGACGTGCTAGAGGAGACAGCGACCCGACGAGGCGGGCGCGGCCCGGACACCGAGGCCCCTTGCCAGACGGGGCGGCTCGCTCTGCAGCAGGCGGCGGAACGGCAAAGGAGCGCCGTGCGGCGTAGGGTGCGCGCGCGCGCGCGCCCCATCGGGCTCGGGGGGCTCTCTGCTCGCTCTCTCTCCCCCGGCCGCACACCCCCGACACACGCATCGGGCTTTCGTCCCTTGCTCCGAGACAACGAGTCACGACTCGCGCCTCTCTCTCTCTCCTCGCGGCTCGGCTCCAGCCGCACCGCCGCCCGACGCTGCTCGCGGCCGGCACACCCACGGGGCGCTCAAACCGGGACCGAGGCCGGCACCGGCAAAACCTCGCCTGCTTTCGAAGGACAACCTGGAAGGCTCGCGGGGCCACGCGGCCGTCACACAGCTGGGCACGGTCCAGACGCCCTTCCCCGGCAGCGGGAGGGGCGACGCCTCGCCTGCGACGGGAAGCGAATCGAAGAGGAGACCGCCCGGCCCGAACACCGGACCCCGGCCGTGAGCTTCCCCATGACAGAGAAGCCCCGGCAGAAAGCCCGGCCGGCCGGGGGCCCTCTCCGACGCCACCCGAGAAGCCTCATCGATCGGGGGCGGACGCGGCTGCAGAAGGGCGGAGGAGGCAGCGAAGCGGGGAGGCGAGAGCCCAGCAGCCGCAGAACCGCCCCCGGCCGAAAGTGCGGAACGCACCAACGGCCACGGCAGAGCCCAGCGCGCACGACCCGCCGACGGGTCGTGGCGGGGAGGGGGGGGCTCCGCGCGCGTGCGAGCGGGGACACGCGTGTCCCCGACCGATCCCTCTCTCGCGGATCGGTCCCGGCCGGGGAGATCGGGGGGGTGCCGCCACCCACCCGCGGACAACGGTTCTCTTGGCCGGGCGACGGGAGGACGGGACCGCCGGGCCGGGGGAGGGGTGGGCTTCACCCTTCCCGGCCGGGGAACCGCGTCCGAGCGTGCGAGGAAACGGTGCCGCCACCGGCTCTCGCCCGGCCTCGCGGCGCGGGCTTCGGTCTCCCTCTGTGTCTCTCGCCTTCGGAAAAGCCGGGGTAGGTCACCGATTAAGAGGAAAAAAAAAAAAAAAAAAAAAAAAAAAAAAAAAAGGCACATGGGCGCGCGGACACCACAAGGACCCGTGCTAGCCACGGGGGCCGTGGGCCCGGGGCGGGGGGCGAGGCGCACGCGGCCTCTCTCGCTGCCCTCCCCGCTTCGGAACCCGCCGGCATCGGCTCGGCTCGGGGCTCGCTCAGCCCCCCACTTCTTTGCCACACAACCTCGGCTTTCGTGGGCCCGCACGCTTCTCCGTGCCGCGGCTTAGGGCCGCAAGAGGAAAAGGCCATCGGAGGCCGGGCGGGCGGGGCGCCCCCACAGCACCCGCGCGCACGCCTTCAAAAAGAGCAACGGACCCGGGGGGGGCCGGGCAAGCCAGCCCCACCCCGGCAGAAGCGGGCTCGGTCGCCACGACCGAGGAAGGGCGAGGCGCCGCCGCCTACGCCCGCGACCTTCCGGGAGTGCTCTCTGCCGGGGCTCCGGTCCGTGCTGGTGGAAAAAAAAGGCTGCCCGCCGCGAGGCGGGTCCCCGGCTTAAGGCCGAGGAAGGGGGACGACTTCAACAAGAGGCGCCGCTGGCACGGGGGTGCCGCCACCCCGGCGCCACGGCTGGATCGGGCGACCGCCGTCACCGAGCCCCCCCCCTGTCTCCGGCCACACGGCGAAGGCCGGGGCCAGGCCGCGGGTGCCCCGCCGCTGCCCTTCCGACACGGACACGCTGGCAAACGAGGTCGGGAGCGGGGGAACCGGGCACCGCCACCGCGGCGGGCCGACCGGGCCTTGCTCGGGGTTTGGGGGCTCTCGGGCAAGGGCCGGGGAAAAACCCCGGCCGCGTCGACCCCCGGCTGCCGGCCACCGGGCGACCAAGACCGGCAGCCGAAAATAAACACCCGCGCCCGGCGGGCCCCGGCTTAAGGCCAGGCAGAAAAGGGACGAGGCGCCGCCGCACCTCGCCCCGCCAGCCCATCGTGTCCCAGGGGGGCCGCCCCCCCTTGCAAACCGGGCCGGCGGCGGCCGACCGGAGCGGAACGCCACACTCGAGCCCGCCCGCGGCGGGGGGCTGTCTCTCTCTGCAACCTTGGCTGCGCTCAGCGAGCGGCTTCTCGACACGCTCTTTCGGCCTTTCGCTTCGTCTCTCTCGCGGCCCTCGCTCTGGCTTTCTCGGCCTCGTCATTTCTCGCTGGCCTCTCGGGTCGGATATTCCTCGAAACTGCCCTGGGGGGCAGGACGGGGCACCGGGACCAAGCCCCCGCGGCTCACCCGGTGCAGGCGGCACTCGCTTCGCCCCGACGACCGCGCGCGACGCGGCCGCCCTATCCTCCGCCTCGGACACAGGCGCCCTCGTGGAACCTGCGGGGATGCGGCCCGTCACCTCGCTCCCAATATACGTACAGACGAGTCCAAGGCCGCCGGCGCCTCCAAGGGGACCGCTGGCGCTCGACCGGGAAGCTGCGCCACCGCAGGCCGCCCTCTACGTCGACGTAGCCGGAGGCGGCTGGAAACAGCGACCCCTTGGCGAACTTCCGGCGCCGGCCGGGACAACAGGTCTACCCGGCAGTTCGGACAGCAGGTCTACCCGGCAGTTCGGACAACAGGTCTACCCGGCAGTTGGGATACCAGGTCTACCCCGGAGTCCGGACACCAGGTCTACCCCGGAACACGGGTCTACCCCGAGATTCGGACAACGGGTCTACCCCGTATTTCGGACAGCAGGTCTACGCCGAGGTTCGGACAACAGGTCTACCCGCCAGCAGGGACAACAGGTCTACCCCGGAGTTCGGACAACAGGTCTACCCCGCAGTCCGGACACCAGGTCTACCCCGTAGTTCGGACACCAGGTCTACCCCGCGGTTCGGACAAGAGGTCTACCCCGGAGTTCGGACAGCAGGTCTACCCGGAGATTCGGACAACAGGTCTACCCCGGGATTCGGACAACAGGTCTACCCCGGGATTCGGACAACAGGTCTACCCCGGGATTCGGACAACAGGTCTACCCGCCAGCTAGGACAAGAGGTCTACCCCAGAGTTCGGACATCAGGTCTACCCCGGAGTTCGGACACCAGGTCTACCCCGAGATTCGGACAAGAGGTCTACCCCGGAGTATGGACAGCAGGTCTACCCCGGAGGCCGGACAGCAGGTCTACCCCGCAGTCCGGACGGCAGGTCTACCCCGAGATTCGGACAAGAGGTCTACCCGCCAGCAGGGACAACAGGTCTACCCCGGAGTCCGGACAGCAGGTCTACCCCGGAGGCCGGACAAGAGGTCTACCCCGCAGTCCGGACAACGGGTCTACCACGGATCCCGGACCAAAGGTCTACCCCGGCGCCCGGACCAAAAGGTCTAAGCTGGCGCACGGGCAACGGGTCCACCCCGGCGCCCGGGCAAATGGTCTTCCCCGGCGCCCGGAGAAGAGGTCTACCCCGGCGCCCGGAGAAGAGCTCTAGCCCGGTTGCCGGACGACAGGTCTACCCCGGGTCCCTGGAAACAGGTCTAGCCCGGCGCCCGGACAAGAGGTCTACCCCGGCGGTCGGACAACAGGTCTACCCCCGAGATTCGGACAAGCGCTCTACCCCGGAGTTCGGACAAAAGGTCTACCCCGGCGCCCGGACAGCAGGTCTACCCCGCAGTCCGGACAGCAGGTCTACCCCGAGATTCGGACAAGAGGTCTACCCGCCAGCAGGGACAACAGGTCTACCCCGGAGTCCGGACAGCAGGTCTACCCCGCGGTCCGGACAACGGGTCTACCACGGATCCCGGACCAAAGGTCTACCCCGGCGCCCGGACCAAAAGGTCTAAGCTGGCGCACGGACAACAGGTCCAGCCCGGCGACCGGAGAAAAAGGTCTACCCCGGCGCCCGGGCAAATGGTCTTCCCCGGCGCCCGGAGAAGAGGTCTACCCCGGCGCCCGGACCAAAAGGTCTACCCCCGCGCCCGGAGAAGAGCACTAGCCCGGGTGCCGGACGACAGGTCCACCCCGGGTCCCTGGAAACAGGTCAAGCCCGGCGCCCGGACAAGAGGTCTATCCCGGCGGTCGGACAACAGGTCTACCCCGGAGGCCGGACAACAGGTCTACCCCGGAGGCCGGACAAAAGGTCTAAGCTGGCGCCGTTCGGACAACAGGTCAACCTCGGGGCCGGGAACACAGGTCTGCCCCCGGCGCCCGGAACACGAGGTCTGCCCCCGGGGCCACGGGGCCACAGCATCTCAGCGGGGCCAGCGTGCAAGGGAAGCGCGTCGGCGGCGGCCCCCGATGCGACTCGGGCGGTCGCTTCTGGGCCGTTCCTGGGCTGCTTCTTTCACGGTCCGCAGAGCCCTTCGGCCCTCGGCAGGGGTCCGGGGGGGGGCCGCGGGGGGCTCGGCGTCGAGGTGCCCGGCGCCAGCACGGAGGCGCCGGCCCACGGCCCTCGCTCACAGAGAGAAAGAGAGAGAGGTACAGAGAGAGAGGGAGAGAGACAGGGACACGCACGCCCGCTCCACACACTCACAATCCGACGCCACCCCCTCAGAGCACCCCCCCGCCCCCAACCCCGTCCCGCCGCTCCTGCACGCACTCTGGCGTGGCCTCTCTCCCCGTCCCTGCCCCCTGCCCCTGCCCTGTCTGTGGCAGCCGCCCGCCCATCGACGGTTGGGGGCGCCCCGCCCTGCCCCGTCAGACTCCCCGGCGCCGCCCGCAGCCTTTACCCTCAAGTCCCCCGCCCGCTCTCCGCTCGGCCGCTTGGCACGTCTGCAGCGGCGGCAGGGCCGGGAGCCGGCCCACATCGAGGCAGGCGGGGCCTTCGGCCGGCAGGGCCAGAGCCCGCGGCAGAGGCGGCAGCCCCTTTTCCGAGAAGCCTTCTCCTCGGCTCTCGCCCGGCCTTCCTGCTTTGACGGCCTTCCTTCCTTGGCGCTCCGGCCCGGCCCGGCCCCGTCCCAGCCCGGGGCAGGACGGCCGAAGGAAGCGAGGGACGCAGAAAGGGAGGCAGGAGCCGGGCTGCCGTGGCTTTGGGCACAAAGGAGGAGGCGGGAGCGCCGCCGGCTCCTACCGGCCGGCTCCTTCCCTCTCTAGCCCGGCGCCCGGCGGCCAGAGGGTCGGTCGTGCGCGGGACAACAGGTCTACCCGGGCTCCAGAGGAACAGGTCTGCCCCGCCGGCCGGGCAGCCGGAGGCCGGGGCCGGAGGAGGACGACAGGGCCTAGCCCGGCGCAGGCACACGCGTTAAAGCCGGGGGCCGGAGGAGACGTCCGGCACCGGGACGACAGGTCTAGCCCGGGGCTTGGGTGTAACAGGTCTACCCCGGGCGGCGGCAGGACGCCGGGTCTGTACCCCGGGTGCAGGACGCCGGGTCTAGCCCGCGGCTTGGCTGCAACAGGTCTACCCCGGGCGGCGGCGGGACGCCGGGTCTAGCCCGCGGCTTGGCTGCAACAGGTCTACCCCGGGCGGCGGCGGGACGCCGGGTCTAGCCCGCGGCTTGGGTGTAACAGGTCTACCCCGGGCGGCGGCAGGACGCCGGGTCTCTACCTCGGGTGCAGGACGCCGGGTCTAGCCCGCGGCTTGGCTGCAACAGGTCTACCCCGGGCGGCGGCGGCGGGACGCCGGGTCTAGCCCGCGGCTTGGCTGCAACAGGTCTACCCCGGGCGGCGGCGGCAGGACGCCGGCTCCAGCCCGCGGCTTGGCTGCAACAGGTCTACCCCGGGCGGCGGCAGGACGCCGGGTCTCTACCTCGGGTGCAGGACGCCGGGTCTAGCCCGCGGCTTGGCTGCAACAGGTCTACCCCGGGCGGCGGCAGGACGCCGGGTCTCTACCTCGGGTGCAGGACGCCGGGTCTAGCCTGCGGCTTGGCTGCAACAGGTCTACCCCGGGCGGCGGCGGCGGGACGCCGGGTCTAGCCCGCGGCTTGGCTGCAACAGGTCTACCCCGGGCGGCGGCGGCGGGACGCCGGGTCTAGCCCGCGGCTTGGCTGCAACAGGTCTACCCCGGGCGGCGGCGGCGGGACGCCGGGTCTAGCCCGCGGCTTGGCTGCAACAGGTCTACCCCGGGCGGCGGCAGGACAAATGGTCTACCCCGGTGCCGGGCGGCCGAAAGCCTAAGTCCGCCGCCAGGTTATCAGGTCTACCTGGCATCCAGTCGTGCCGGCCTCCTCCGGCGCTCGGCCCCGCCAGGAGCACGTCCGGCGACCGGGACAGCAGGTTTGCCGCCTAGCCGAGCGGCCGGAGGACCAAGTCCGGCCCAGGTGCGCGGCTCCCTGCGAGGGCTCGGTGGAGGTAGGCTAAGGCCGGCCTTAGACGCCATCGGCTCTGCTGCGGCGCCGGCCGAGGGACGGACCAGCTCCGTCCCTCTCTCTCCCTCTCTCTCTCTCTCTCTCTCTCTCTCTCTCTTCCCCCCCGCCCTGGCGCGCCAGGCAAACCAAGTCCGCTTCGGGGACCCGGTCTACCCTGCAGCTGGCCGGGAAAAAAGGGCGGGCAGGCAGGAGGGCGAGGGATCGCGCGCGGCCGCCGCGCGCGATCCCTCGCCCTCCTGCCTGCCCGCCGCCGCCGGGGGCGCCACGCGCGGCCGGCCCCGCCGCACGGGGGCCCGTCGCACATTGGCAACTGGTCTACCCCCACGCCCGAAGAAGACGGCGGCCGACGGGCTTCCCCGCGCGCCCACCGCATCCCCGCGCGGTGGGGGGGGGTAAAACCCGCCGCCGCCGCCGCCGCCACCGCCGCCCGCGCGGCCAAGCCCCCGCCCCGCGTCTCGGGCCTGGGACCCGCGCGGAGGGAAGTCGAGGCCTCGCGAGCGCGGCCCCCCTCCCATCCCCCGGCGAGGGGAGAGGGCGCCTCTCTCTCTCGCGCGGCACGCGGCCCCTTGTTCGCGCCCGGTCGGGTCCGTGCGCGTGTGGGTGTGTGCCCGGGCCCCCGGGACTCCGCGTGCCGGGCCTGGGACCCGCGCGGAGGGGA